GTTTAGAGGACAAGATAGAGACTTGCCAAGGCTAGGCTTGGGTATCAGATGTACTGGAACACAGAAGAGAGACAGTTGTTCCAAACTGGTATACTAATGTTTAGCATCATGGAAGGGCGTGACCACTGAATAGAAAACCAGAGGTTGTGAGAATTAACTCAGGTTGATTTGTTTAGAAATTGGCTCAGAAGCAAAGGCTTTTAACAAGACAAGATGTAGCTTTTACAGTGGCAGCAGCCCCAACTGAGATACTTGCTCCTATAAAACTCTTGCTTTCTTAAAACACCTTTATTGAGATACTGCCTAAAATTGTACAAATCAATGTCTTTTAGTATGTTCAGAGAGTTCTATAAGTACTGCTATAATCAACTTTGAGACATTTCCATCACCCCTAAAAGCAAGTCAACACTTTCATTTTCACTCCCATCCTACATAGCGCCCTTTGCCCTCTGCAGCCACTCAGCTCTTCTCTATTATATAGATTTGCCCATCCTGGGTATTTCATATAAATGAGATTATCAAATACAAATGGATGGTTTCATTTAGCATGGAACATTAGAGTCAGTGGAACTTCTTTGAGAAAAGCAGTCCTGGATCCTACCCATAGCCATGACTGGCAGACAGGATCGGTGTGCTCTCAACCAAAGGATTGCCAATCCAGATGCTAGTCAGCACCCAGTGTTGTGGTCTGGCCAGAAAGATGGGCCAGGCTATCAGATTCTCTTCCATTTGAACGGTGAAAATACTAAGAATGGGGCAGCCTTCACATGAAATCAAAAAGCAAGACAAGTTAGATTGCACAGAGGTAGAAACAATGAGCAGCACAGGGAAGAACAAACTGAGTTTGCAGTAAGGTTGGTGGCCAGCGCTGGTCTGACTCACCGTCCTCTCAGATTGGCCCCACCATGCATTATCTACTGACAGACTGATCTGCTTTGAGGATGTAAATCCCTTCTTTACCTCATGGCTGCTGTTTATTGTTGGCAATCATTCCTCTTCTTGTCTTCCTCTTTGTCATTATCATCTTCTCTTTATTTTAGATTATACATCAGCACACACACACACATGCACACACACACACACACACACACACACACACACACCGTCCCCATCCCCATGCACTATATCTCCCTGTCTGGAGTCCAGGCTGGCCTTGAACTCGCTCTCCTACTGTCTCAGCATCCTACTGCCAACCTTAACTAAAAACGAGGCTTGATTTGGGTTTGGGTTTTTGCTTGCTCATTTGTTTCTTTTCCAGTTCTAACTAGGTTCTTTCACATACGTAGCCTTAAAATAAAATCATTACTTAGTTCAAAAAAAAAAAAAGATGAAAAGGAATAAACTCCGTAGGGTGAGAGAATAATGAATTCAGTCCAAGACAAGCTAGGTTTAAGATGCATGGACATAGAGGGACCTGCAGGAGCAAAGGTGAGCAGAGAAAGAGGCACTTAAAAGAGGAAGGTAAGAAGGAGCAGACAAAGCTGGGGTCCACATACCAGGAGACAGTGGTTAGGGACCAAAGCCATGCACTCCAACCTTTCTGCATCAGTGATAGCCTTGGCCATGTGGCTGACTGAGGATTCAGCATGTCCCCTAACGGCTTAGGAGCGCATACAGACTGTTTCTCACCCAGCTCTGCTTTTCCTAAGTCAATGAGCACTTGCAGAGGGCCAAGCTACTCAAGGTAGGAGAAACACCTGCCTGTGGAAGGCAGTGCTGTGTTCCCAGCCTCAAAGGAGAGCTTGCCATACTAGCTGGTGCCAATTGACACTTCAGTGACCTGTTTAACCTCTTAACAACCTGTACATAACAGGTGGACATGGTGCAGACCAGACAGGGTTCCCAGTAGAGCAGCATCAGGCAGTGGTGGTGAAATCTTGTTCCAAACTGTACTGGGGAACCAGAGAGTACTATAGGCTTCTGCGTTGCTTAGTTACTATGTGGTTAAAGGAAATGAGAGTAATCCCTCATATACAGGGAGGGCTGTGCTAAAGTGATCATTGTCACCAGCTTGCCTGTGAGAGGGAGACCTCCCTCTAGTCCCAGATCTTCTGATTATTTTTCTGTTCACGGTTACAGCTATAAAGATGCTTAAGAAGCATGGTCCAAGTCAATGCAAAGGAGTACTAGAGGAACCAGGAGAGTTCCAGCCCTGCTACCCCTCCCATACCTGATACAAGTCCTGCATCCCTGACTCTCAAATATCTCTGCTTCCTGGGTGGTTTACTACCTTGCTTGCCATCTCGTGAATGACTTGTACATGAAGATCATGCACAAAGGTTACAGTTGGAGTGACTCAGGACAGAGCAGTCAGATTTGGCTTTGTGAAGTAGCTATGAATATTCTTTTCTTTTTCTTTTTCTTTATCCCCCTGTGGAGCTAGGTACACATCTGCTCATGGCAGAGATTCCCTAGATGAGAATTCGGGATAAGTGGAGGTAAAGCATCCAGAGGTGGGAGGAAAATGTCCCAGGAGAGGCATGAAATGGGCAGAGATAAAGTCTACAATGCTGCTGCCTATTTCCCCATGGGCCCTCTCAAAGTCCCAGACACCACAACCCACAGATCTTCCCTGGGCCACCTGGGGCGCTGGTGCCATCTGTGGCTGCAGCAATGGACCAAAGCCCTCATAATTATCCAAAGTGGTGAGACAGCCAGGGGAAAGACCACATCAGTGCAAGCTGAGATGAATTCAGACCACCCAGAAGGGCACTTAATTCTGTCAAGTTCAAGTAATTTTTAGACGCAACATTATCAACAACAAAATAGATGTAAACCCCAAATCAGTGCCTCTAATTATGAAATAGTTGGGAAACAACTGAAATCAAGACAGTGGGCTTCTGAGATAGCTGTCAAGATACATTCGTTGCAGCACTGACTATTTCCTCAAAAATAGTATTATTGCAAAGTGCTGAGATCTGAGTCTGTAGGAGTCCCCAGACTCTGGCCATTTGCTCTAATTGGGTGATTATATCTGTAGAAGCATCATGGACAAAGCAAAGGTTGTAAGGGTGCAGCCCTTGTTCGACTGAAGCCTGCATCATCCAAACCACAACAACTGGGCAATATATAAGGAGTGCTAAATAGTGCAACTTCAGCTAGAACAACGCAGAATTGGCAGATCACCAGGGAAAGCTCTGTGGAAGAGCCAGAAACTGAGCCAGAGTTTGGGAGAATGACTTTCCACTTGATAGGAATAAACATCTGGCACACAGGTGTGCAGTCAATACTTGCTGGGTAAACATCATTGAACAGGGACACTCAAGATCATGAAGAGCGTGGATGGGCAACATCACGCCATGAATCCACATTCCTCATCTTCCTTCCACTACAATTTACCAACATCCCCAGGAAAAAAGCATCAACAGATTTCATCCCCCGTCACTATGTCCACTCTAAGTGAAGGAGAAGGAGTTTGCCTGGCTTCTTCAGAGGACATGACCACACCTGCTGCTGTCCTTCATAACCTCTTAGAAATAAGCCCATAGGTACCAATTTACAATTTGTGTTGTTCATTCTGGCAGTCCCTACTCGTGCAGTATGATCTAGCTGTTCTCTAGAGGACACAGTCGGCGCTTACAATATGTGGGGACTCTGATGAGGCCCTGAGTATGTCTCCTCACAATAAGTTCACTCATGGCATAGGTAAAACAAAGGCTCTTGTGGTCTTGCGTGTGAAAAGCAAAGGGCCATGCATGCAGCAACATATAATAGAGAAAGCAAAGTAAGGTTCAAAAGCTGCCACGGGACTTGTAATTTATGAACTGAGCACAAGGCGTTGGTCTTGTTCCTGTGTGTACCAAAGCCTACAATCTACTTTCAACATAAATGTGTGACCAGTCTCTGTATTCACAAGCACATGTTTTAGGAACTCGGAGTGTGTTTGAACACTACCAGTTCCTCCATCCAGGAACCGCCATTGTGTATAGAATAACACTTTACAGAGGAAAAAGCAGAAGCCCAGAGAGGCAGCTCTTTCCTTGTGTTCAACATTTCTCAAAGTGGGCTGCACAGAACACTGATATCTTGAATATAGGCACTCTATAGAAAGGGGTCGGGTCATGATCATATACAGTTTGGGAATCCTGGATTAGACAAAATTGAGTGGGGTTTTCCTTAGTTTATTTAGACTATAGAGCTTCTAGGAGTTGCAGCCAGCTTTCTTTCCACAAAATTTGGGACAATGGTATCCACAATTATATTAAATTTGGGTGATGTGTTAAGCCTCCCCCTACCTGTGATGACAGAAAAAGTTGAGGATCCTAGGGACAGCAATGCTCCACGCAGAGCAGCTTTGAACTTTTTCCCTAGCATGCTGCCTCTTAGGTACATGACAGGCTGCACTGTTTTTTCCATGACCTGCCCACGTTTTGTTGAGCTTCCTACATCTTCCCGTTCTATGCCTAGAGTGGAACACAGAAGACATAACGAATGGAGTCCCTTAACCCCTTGTAGCTACAGTGTGAGAGTTTGTTTTTTGTTTGTTGTTCCAGAATCCAAAGAAAGAGCAGCAGGAACCCAGCACAGACTGGAAGTCCAGTCCAGCTAGCCAGCTTCCCCACCCCCGAAGCTGCCTGGGATTGGCTCCCTGCCCAGCACATACACCCCCAACAGAGGAGGCATCCCTCTGCATTCCCAGCCGAAGGAGAGGTGTGCTGGGAAAGGGATCAAGCGGGGTGGCGCCCCCCCCCCTCATTTTTTTTCTTTTACTGTTGATCATCTGTTTCTGAAATGTCTGTTCTGCTGTGTTTCTCTAAAGGTATTAACCACTTTCCTCATCCAGGGACCGCGCAGACCGAGACCTCTGTTTCTGGTTCAACGACATCATCTGTGAACCATGTTACCAACCTCTGTGGCAGGGAATGCTGAACTCAGACAGGGCTATGGCCGGGATAACTAGCGGTCAGCGAGCAATGTGGGGTTCCCAGAGTTAGGGCTCCCCCTGCTGGAATCCCGAGCTAAGCCCGGGTGTAATTTTTTTTCCTCCGGAAGCCGTTTGAGCCTGCCTTCAGCCAGCCACTTCACATTCGGACACGGTTTCTCCCAAAGACTTAACTGACACCTCTATCCAGACATCTGTGAGTCTCCCTCTCTTCGCCTGTGTTCATCCTTCCTAAAGAATGATCCAGTTTGCCCAGCCCAGGTTAAACAGGACATCTGATGCTCGAAATTTAGGACTGGGGAATTTCCCAATTTTTCCCCAAAGCAGATCTTTTTGTAGGACAAGTTCTCCCTAACAAGAATTACATTTTTCAAATATTTGAATATCAGCTCCTTTGTATTGCTCATTTGAATGTGAACGAGGGAGGAGAAAGAAAGGAGGGTGATTTGAGGTTGTTCCAGCGGGTGGAAGGAAAGAAATGCCTTCAGGAAGCTCCCTCTTCGGAGATGAGCAGCTCAGACCTGGAAAAGAATTTAATTTTATCCTGCTCTGGTTGCTAAGCCCGTTCCTGACATAAAACCCTGTCTCTGTGCAGCGGGGAGAATAAACAGTTAATCTTGTGGGTCTCTAGCTTCTGAGACTTGAGGCTCAGAATTCCTGGCGGCTGAGAAATTGCGCGGCCCTCCGTCTGCAGAATCTCCCCCCACCCCAGGATACCACTGTTTGTAATTGAGAAGTCTGTGTATCTTTTCATTCGTCAAAGATGCGCGGAAAGGAGGAAGGCTGAGCCACACTGAATGGAAATCCGGCTTTAAGGTTTCTGGCTGTTCTCTGTCAGGTGATGATCCATTAGGATGCACCGGCCTAGAACTGAAAGCTCTTTAAGACCTGAAAAGTCGGGCCTGTTAGCTGTGTTTTCCAGCAGTGGAATGTGTACCCACTTGGGGGCTCACTGAAAATGAAAATAAGAGACGGAGGACTAGGAGTAGCCCAATTGGTAGATGCAGTCCTGGGTTTGATCCTCAGCGCCTCATAAACCAGGTGCAGGGATGATACAGACCCATAATTCTAGCCCTTGGGAGTAGAAGTAGGAGGATGAAAAGTTCAAGGTCATCCTCAGCTACACAGCAAGTGGAGAGATGGGAGACCTTTTCAGAAGAAGAAATAAAGACAGCAAATTCCAAACCCTAAATGAAGGCATACCCCGTTCAACCCCATGAATAATTATTCACATTTACAAAAATGAATACTAAAATGAGCAGATCTTCATTTTACAGCAGGCTGCACTATGGGATCCCTTTACATTCCAAGTTCCTCTGATGCATAAAACATATGATTAGATTTACAAAAACTTGATTTACACAGGTTCTTAAAAAAAAATCTTTGCAGAAAGATTACGTGTGATTAGATGCAATAGGAGGCCCCTCTGGGGCTTCACCGATGGGCGATCGCAGAGTTAATAGCCAAACACACTTCAGGCCATTTGCCAGAGCTGATGTCAGTCCTGTGAAATTCCTGAAGAAGTCTTAGGGGAGGCCAGATGACTGCTTACAAGGTGGTGATTAGAACTCCTAACAAGGGATACTGCAGGAAATAGGTGCTGCTCAATCTTCATGAACTTGCCAAACAGAGTATCACAGGTGGGCAGATGGTCTGGTCTGTTCTCTATAGGGAAAGGGATGCAGAAAGACACAGCTTCTATCTCCACTAGTATGAGGCTGTTAAGAGAGAAAGAGGGAGAGTCCCAGGTGGCAAGAGAGCTTTAGCAGAGACTAAAGGAAGGAAGAAGCTATCACGCCTAATTAATCTATCCATTCCAGGGAATTCTAGAAAGACTCTCAGAGCCCACACTATTGTACAAGTTATTGAACTGAGCTTCTAGTTGCAATTTCCACTCTTTTCAGGCTTGTCTTTTTCCCATGAAGCTCTATCCTGTACATAGCAAACAATCATGTAGATAACAGGTATGGTAACTTATGTTGCTCTCCTCTAGTGGTCAAAATCGAATTTTATTTTTAAATATAGATGCAGGATAATTTGCCATGATAAACTTGAAAGAAAAAGAAAAACAGTTCATGTATGCTCTCTTTTCTGGTGAAGGAATCCTACCCTGCACCATTTTGAAACGACTGGGAATTCTGTCATATTTTGCTCTAACTCACAGTTTGCTTTGAGCCTTCTCAAGTGCAGGGTGGGGGAGGTGGGGGTGCACTTTGAGAATCCACATCCAAGTTCCCTTCTCACCTTTTGTCCTTGCCCTCCCACCCCCGCCCACACACACACACAGAGAGAGAGAGAGAGAGAGAGAGAGAGAGAGAGAGAGAGAGAGAGAGAAAGAGAGAGAGAGAGAGCAGCATTCTGAGATAGCCAGAGAAGGAAGTGCCCTATTTCCCTGCCGTTTCTTCTCTCTCCTCAGAGCCAAAGATGCCACAGCATTGAAAGGCTGTTCACCCCTGACGGCCACTCCCCAGGGGGAATGTGTGTTTAAGACCCTGCACCCATTCTGGTGACACAGCACACTCACGGCTCATGAATATTTGATACCAAATCAAGCAATTTGTCATTCTACTACTACATAGAGAAAACACTTTAGTCCAAAGGAAACCATTTGAAAGAGAACTCATTATCCCGTACCTGGGTTTTCTTTTATTTTATTGTAATGCTTTGATTGTTGCATAGACAATACATGACTTTCTGCCTCTTTCTTTTAATTCCTTTTTTTCTAAAAAATAAACCCTGCTTTTTACTTTGCAAACTATAATACTTGTTTTCATTTAAATAAGAAAAAGTACTTTTCCAAATTATTAAGTTGTTTAATTTAGAACAAATAGAATAATTAATATTTTCCCAGGAGAATGCACCTCAAAAATTAGAGAGAGAAGATGTGCTCCTAAAATAATATTTTTATTTCATGATTTAGCCAAAAAGACACCGGTTAAGTTTTGAGACTTAACACCGGCCCTTTGGGATGTTTGTCAGTGGAGAACCTGCGCTTGTTTGTACAGGTAAGTTTATGATTCAACACGGATGTGTTATAAACTTCGAGTCTTTTTCAACACAATATGGAATCGTTTCTTAGCATATCTGATTAAGTGCCAGCTGTAAGCAATGATGAAAATAACTGGAGTTTTGTTAGGAGTTCTGGACAAGTACACACTCTGGTTTCCAGGGCTGTCCTAGGTGCAGGGCTAAAAGGTGCCCCCCAAAAGCCTGCCTCTGTGTGCCTCCCACCCTGAAGAGCATAAATTAAGTACATAATTTGCTGTTTGTGACTTTGGGCAGCCTGAGTACCCATTGCCAATTAGTGGGATGTCACCAGTGATGAGGCAATACACAGAGGTGCCCCAAGAGAGAGGGTCATTAATACAGGGAGGAAGAACATTGTTCCCAAAGTGGCCATCGTGCAGCTCCTGTAGGTCACCAGTCTGTTTAGCATAACCATTTTGTTATTTTTCTTTCCCTTTTAATTTGACTGAGGAAATGCAAGAAATGGTTTTAGGGTATTTAAAAAAAAAAAGTCACCCAATAAAATAAATCAAGTGACTTAAGGCACTCTGAAATCAAAAAGACTTATTATCAGTTGTTTGCAAGGCTTAACCGCACAAGTTAAGCTAGAGAATCAGATCTTAGGATATCATCAGTAGGCTTAACAATCTCCAAATATTTTCATTTCATTTTCCTCCCACTGAGATTGTTTTCTCCTTTCCAAAACCTAAGATAATACTTCTCCTGCTCAGTACTTACTGATTCATATACTAATATTAAATGGTTTTTCTTAATTAAAAGGCTTCTTTGGGTGTCTAATTTAGATTAACTATATCAGACATAACCAGGGGAATCAGACTCCTGCATTCTAATATACTGTATAAAACATCAAGAAGTTCTTGGTTGTTGCTTACATATGACAATCCTATTATATTATTTTCCTTATAAATTGACAAAAAGTGTCTGGTGTGTATTTGCTATTAATCCTAGAATAGCAAATGGTCCCCTGTGGGTTTTGTTATGCTTTCAAGAATAAGGAGAAAGGACGGTATTGGTCAAATTATACTGCCTCTTCAATAATCTATTTTAAGTAAACAGGTACTATACATTGCTGTAACCATTTTATCCCCATGATTAAGTTTCTGTAGTAATTGTTGAGGAACCTCTGATTAGTCACATATAAGGCCCCCTCCCATTACAGTTTGTATTTTAATATTAGTTGCTCATTGTGGACAAGTGACTCCAAGAAGCAATTAACTCAAAGGTAGATTTTGTTTTTAAAGATAAGACACCAAGTTGGAGTTGTGGAGTTGGGTAAAATGAAGAGCTATATCCATATTCTCTGATGTGTGTCCTTCTAGTTTGTGAGCAGGGTGGTTGCAGGGTTGCTCCATCTATGTTGGTTACTTGAGGGTGTAATGTCCCTGACAGAAGAATAAGGAAGCCAGAAAGCATGAGCTCTGGGTTGGGTCAACTGTGACTCCCTTTAAACATTGGCTTATAAAGTGAAGCTTGGATTTGGGGGACATGAAATTACTTATGTTGGCTTTGTCAGTGACCTGGTTGATGTGACTGTCAGGTCACCTGGCAGATGTTCTGTGTCTTAGAAGGATGAGACAGGATTGGGGTCTCTGCATTTTGCTGTTTGTTGCTGTTGTTTGTGTTCAGCACTCAAGCTCTCTGACTTCCCAACTGGCTGCCATTTTCTTCTCTCTCTTCTCCCTCCTCACCCACACTCTCTCTCTCTCTCTCTCTCTCTCTCTCTCTCTCTCTCTCTCTCTCTCTCTCTCTCTGCTGTCTTTGTTTCCTCTACCTGGTTTGGCTCCCTTCTCCCAACCCTTGCAAGTGTTTCCTTCTATGACTTTAGCTCATTTTTGCTATTCCTCTCAACTTCTTTTCCTAAGTCTTTTTTCGTCTTAGTTCCCTTTAAAATTGAGTTTGGCCAAGTGAGGTGGTGCATTCCTTTAATCCCAGCACCTGGAGGCAGAAGCAGTAGGATCTCTGTGAGTTGAGGCTGGCAGTGAGTTCTAGGCCAGCCAAGATTACATAGTGAAACCCTGTCTCAAAATATAGACAAACAAATAAAATTGAGTTTGCCTCTCTGTTCCTAAAAATGAGGGCTTCAAAATCTGCGATGGAATTGCCACCCTCCTCCTCTTCTTCTTCTTCTTCCTCTCTTTCTGTTTTTCTTCCAGTGCTAGAGACGGAACCCAGGCTTTGTGCACACTAGGCAAGTGCTCTGCCACTGAGCTACATCCCAGCTCTCAGGTTTGTCTTATTTAAAGAACATGGTTGTTCATGGACATAAAAAAGAGGAAGATCAAGAGAATACTTTTGCCAGTGATCTGGGCTCCCTAGGAACTCAGAGATGTCCAAGACACCATCAAAAATTAAAGATTGGCCCCAAAGAGAAAGTCAATTTCTCTTATGGCTTGCACCTAAATGAATATGGCCTTCCCCCATGAAGGTAGGACTTCACACTGTCTTTGAAGGCACTGAAGTGCCTTAGTGTCTAGAATCACTTGATTATATCATTCCCATTGGCCAGTGAGGCTTGTCTTATTGCTCAGTGTGGCAATTCATCACCAATAGAAGTGACAGGAAAGGTCACTACATTCTCCCATCCAGCCATCCTTAAGTGAACAGCTTTCAGTGAAATGCAAAGCACCGTGGAGTTAAAGACTAGCCATGTGAAGATTCAAACTGTCTTAAGTCTCAGTAGAAAGTAAAGCATTTCAAAGCAATGCTGAAGTTGGTCACCCAAAGGATGTAACAAAAGAGGCTGACACCCACAGAGCAGGAAGGAATGCTACTCAGGGGTTTATTGACCACATTTTCTACCAACACCAAGAGCAGAAAGAACATGAGATTCCCTACCTGGTTAGTTTTCATAAAACCTGGGAAATACCTGTCCATTTCTGCTAGTGCTTGGCTTTTCCTGGCACACATAAGAGCCTGTCTTCATTCTTACGGGTAGGAGGGTTCTTAGGGCCAAGGACCTCAATGACTCTTGCTGGAGTCTTGGGTTGAATTGTCCCTTCTGGAAACCCTCACTGTAGGACCAAGCATTTGTTCTCAACAACAAATACACGTTGAACTTGGTCAATCAAGAAGACCTGAATAAGGGCTATATTTAAGACCATCTCCTGTAGCTGGGCAGTGGTAGCCCCTGACTTTAATCCCAGCACTTGAGAAGCAGAGGCAGGCCAATCTCTGTGTTTGAGGCCAGCCTGGTATACAGAGTGAGTTCTAGGACAGCCAGGGCTATTCCATAGAGAAATCCTGTCTCAAAAAAAAAAAAAAGAAAGAAAAGAAAAAAAAAAGAAAAGAAAACCTTAAAAGAAAAAACAAACAGAATCACTATGTGTGGTAGAAAAGCCATGGACGATGATTAATCTTAATTGCCAGCTTGATTTTTGTTGAGAGACACCTGGAAGATTAGCAAAATACACTTGTGGATGACCTTGTGAAGTTGTTTCCAGAGAGGGTTAACTAAGGGAGAAGATTAAGATTAGGCCTGGATATGATGAGTGGCAATGTCCAATCAATGGTTAGGTACCTAGATGAAATACAAAAGAAAGGAGGAAGCCTACTAGCATACCTCTCTCTCTCTCTCTCTCTCTCTCTCTCTCTCTCTCTCTCCCTCCCTCCTTCCGTCCTTTCCTCCCTCCCTTCCTCTCTCCCTTTATCTATCTGCCTATCTCCCCTCCATCTGTTTCCTGTCCCCATTTCCTGGCCTCCATGAAGCAAGTAGACTCTACCACATGTTCTCATTGCTACAGAGATGCCTTGATGCCTCAGCAGGGTGCCCAGAAACAGGAAACCCCCCAGCCTCCCCGGCCCCAGACTATGGAGTAAAACCTTTGAAACCAAGAGCCAAAATAAACCTCACTTTACCAAGACTGTGGAATAAAACCTTTGAAACCAGGAGTCAAAATAACCCTCACTTTAAGTCATTTTTCTCAGGTATTTGTCACAGCAATGCTTTACCCACTACACTTAATGAATCTAAAAACATCTTGATAATCTCCCAAAACCCAAGTCTGATTAGTGATGGGGAGGGGTGATGGTTAAGATCTTTGAACTTGACTGAGGCGAGTAGAAGAGGAGTCAAACTCCATCTGAATCCTGGTCTTGAGACCCATGGTTAAACAAAAGCTGCCTCTGGAACCTCAACACAGCTGAACCAGTAAAGGTCAGAGAGCATTCACTGAGGTCTTTCAGGGTCAATTCTAAGTCAAACCATGAAAATAATACAGGAATTATTATTATTATAGTCTGCTGCCTGAAGGCCAGGTTCTACAGAGCCTTGAGGTACAGCATCTCTTCAGTTTAGGTCACAGAAGCCTTTTGTTAGGCACATCTAGCTTGCATTGGTCAGGCTCTCTAGGAGCATCTGGGGACAGGGATGGTGCTAGAAAGGAGAGAGAGAAGGGAACAAGCATCCCTGAAGATGCTTGTGAACTTCAGTCATCTGTAACAGTTTAGGAAGCAAGTCTGCCAAGATGACCTGCAATCCTTTGAAATCGCTGCCTTCTCTGCAGTTAATGAGGGGTAACAGAGGCTGCAGTCATGAGTAAAGGCTCTCTGGGGGACAATATCCTATTTGGATACACTCAAGTTCATTCTGTTTGTTTTCAAATCTTAATAAACACCCTTGGTGACTCCAGTGTGCAAACTCTTATTCTTGGGGCACTGCCAGGTGGAGACCCCACTCTAGACTGCATGTAAAGGGAAAGAGATTCGCCTCCTGCTCATTTGTTCATTGTTGGACTGTGTCTCTTGTACAAGCTGCCATGCAAAAGCAACAAGGCAGGCCCAGGAGGGCAGGTCCAATCTTTTAGATGTAGCTTGAGAGTGTTAGCAGGATGGTTTAAAAAGAAGCACCCCGTCATCCAAGATATCTGCAGGCACCTGCATTGTTCAAACCAGCTCACCTTTCTAAAATAAACAAGCCTCATCAATTGTGCTGGCCGAGGTTTTCTTTGCATTTCACGATTCAGCTACCTTATGTGTTTTTACCAGCAACCTCCCTCCCACCCCTACCCCACCGTTTATCACATCATCTTATCACAGTCTCTTTGGGAGACGCAAATAGCACACTAATGTTTCCTTTTGTCAGGGTGAGTTGTCAATCTCCTCCAAGAGGGAACAACTACAGACAGCTCTTTCTTTTGATAATCTTCCTGACACTTGCAGGAAACTGGTTTATCCATCACACAAGAACCCCACTCTGGGGAGAGGAAACACTCCCGACAGTCAATCAGTGTGGATGTCACTTTGTGTCCATCAAGAAAATATGTAATGTGAACTATCATGTATTTTGTTCTAGTAAATAGCCGTCCTTTCTTCCTATACTTTGTCTGTGTTTCGTGGACTGACAGTACAAACACAACACACAGGATTGTGCCCTTTTAACACGCAAGTCTGAAAGCCCTGCTTTGTGCAGTTTTCAATGTGCCAATGTACTCCCTTGTTTTCCATGAGAAAGGGTATGATAGGGAGACCACAAATATGGAGGCTCAGAATGCTCCAAGTTCAGACTCCCTGTTGGAATTAGGGATGCTGGATTTGGTGTGAAACTTTCTCAGCTTCATTGGCTGGGGCCTTCCAGCTATTGCAAATCTCCACACTTTTCAGCTGTGAATGATCCAAAGAAACTGCAGAAGAGAACTAGGAATACAGAGCCAGAAAAATACAACAAAGCCATTGCGGCAAACAAATTCGTGGAAGTCAGCCTAGTCCAGGTCTGGAAAGTTCTCCCAGAAATAGTCCTCCTCTCAAAGGAGAGATAATTATCGTATTGGAGGGTTGTTTTTTTTTGGGGGGGGGTAAGAAAGTGAATAAATTTATTTATTTATTTGTTTGTTTGTTTCTGAGATAGCTTCATCGTTGGCCTGGAACTTTCTGCGTAGCCCAAGCTGGCTTCAAACTCACAATCCTTCATTATCCTCCCAAGGGCTGGAATGTAGGGAGAAAATGAAAACATTTATATGTATGTTCTAGGTGGACAGGCTGGTCACTACTAGCTCTGGATAGTCCCATTTCTTCCTCTCTGGAAACAGTGACGGAGCAAGCAGCCACCCAAGATCACTCGTGACTATTCGGAAGCCTAAGATCTGTCTGCAATTAATAAATGGGACCTCCTGAAACTGAGAAGCTTCTGCAAGGCAAAGGAAACAGTCAGTAGGACAAAACGACCACCCACAGAATGGGAAAGGATCTTCACCGATCCCACATCCGACAGAGGACTGATTTCCAAAATATATAAGGAGCTCAAGAAGCTAGCCACCAAAACACCAAACAATGAAATTAAAAAGTGGGGTGCAGAACTAAATAGAGAATTCTCAACAGAGGAATCTGAAATGGCTGAAAGATACTTGAGAAAGTGCTCAAAATCATTGGCCATCAGAGAAATGCAACTCAAAAAACTCTGAGATACCACCTCACACCTGTCAGAATGGCTAAAATCAAAAATACCAATAACAATCTATGCTGGAGAGGATACGGAGAAAAAGTAACACTCCTCCATTGCTGGTGAGAGTGCTAACTTGTAAGACCACCCTGGAAATCAGTATGGCGGCTGCTCAGAAAATGGGAATCAGTCTACCTCAAGATCCAGCCATTCCTCTCTT